ACTGCCAATCGTTGTAAACCTTTCAAAGCGAAATACTCAATGAGTACTCAAATAATACTCAACCCTGGAGACAACCCCAGTCCTAGTATTCACTGAATGAAAATTACTGCTCTACACAATACCTGATTTATTTTGAAGCTCATATACACACAATTAAAACACATATAGTATTAAATTTTTGAAAGTAGATTTTACAGGAAGTAGATTTGGAAATACCAGCCATACATCTTATGGCCCTTTTCTGAACCAAGAAGACATTAGTCGAATTAGTCGACTATATAATACTTAATATTTGTGATTTGGTTAAAATACTTTCAGGTCATGTAATAAAGAGATGTTGGCTCTCAACCGCGATACCAAAGAGCATGAGTCTTAAAATTCGTGGTTTTATCTAGGAATATTCCAAGAAACATTACAAGACGTACTGACTGAAAATCTTCACTATTTACTTGAAGATGTGACTTCTGAATATGATGGAATCTTATAAAAGATGTTCTCAGTGAATTACCATTATCACATCACTCAAAATCACGTTATATTTGCCTTCCAGACATGAATCGCACCTACCCGTCATAGATTTCACAAAGTCATCAGCAAACTTTTTAAACCATGTGTTCTGGAAGTCGGCCACTCTGTAATCCGTCAAAATACAAGAGGAAAAGTACTATTCCAGTGCATACATCAGTGCTTTGTACGTTAGGCTAAAATATTATAATTATTATTTTGAGGAACTAAAATGCTTCAGAAAAAATGTATAAAATGTTCTACTAAAAAAGGTGGTTTATTCTACAACTATTTTTTTTAATTGCGCCATACATTTATTTTGCGATAGATTCTTCACATCTTTCTCTGTTTATCGTTTGAACTTGCTGTGTTTTATTTGCGTAAGCTTTGTCCATAAGAAATATTCTTTTCTTGGACAATAAAGTATACTTGATCATCATCATCAATCTCTAAAAGATTAACCTAGCCCTCGGAACTTGATGGATTCGCGTGTGTGGCTCCTTCTAAGCTCGTACACTGGACCTGCAGGTCCCCAGTGATCGGAAAAAAACAATCCGGATAAATCTAGATTTTGAAGGACATCCGCAATCTGAGAAAAATATCATATCTCGCACTTAACGGCAGCCTCAAAGTTTGCCAACCTTTTACGAGTCCCGCTTAAGGCAGCGACTTTTTTTGCAACTTTTTAAGTGTTTTTGTTGTGGATATATTTTCTATTGGAAATATCAAACTCGGAGCCAACAGGTTCTTTCTCATCTTCTGATCGACCAAATGCATAAATAAAAAAGTAGATAGCGTAGCTGAAGAGGTATTAAAGCCAAAAAGGTCATTTTTATTTGGAAATCACGTCAGTTGTGTTAATTTGATGCGCGAGTTTTGCAAAAACCAGTGCAATTTTCGCTTTACTAAAGAACCAATTACACTACACCCGACGTTTACGCAATTAAAAACCTGAACGGCTGGGACTAATTTTTAGTTAATTATAACAAACAAATGAACCGAACGTTGTTTTTTTAGTCATGGCGCGAGAGTTTTTACGATCTCGTTAAAACGCCAATTAGTCCTGGACGATCGCCATATTAAATGTGCCCGACCGATAATGAACACGTATCGAAAATCTCATATTGTATGTATACAGGGCGTCCGGAAATAATAGGCAAAAATTCCTTAATAACTAATGTACAGGGTGGTCCATTTAAGCCGTTCCTAAATAAGTACGACACAACAAAAAAAAGTTAAATACAGAAGGATAATTATTAAATTTTGAGCGGTTTTTGAAAAAATTGAACTTTCCCATTTTTTTGCGGAAAAACAGGTCTTTGGAAAAATATTTTTTTACACTTAAAAACTAAAATTGGGAATTTTTATTATAGATTCGTGGAAATGATATTTAATGATTTGACCTATCTATCGCGAAAATATATTATACAGGGTGGTCAAAAATAACTAGTGGTGGGACTGGTCAATTGGCCACTTCTTAATTGACTATTCAAATTCGATCAATATGTTGCAAATAACATCTGGAAATTGTAATTAATTAACATGTATTTTATAATAAATGATTATGCATTTGCGATGTCCAATTTACCTATTACTTACTTATACTTGAAGGAATACCCGTATATTTTGCGATTCGGTGAATCCCAATAAAAATATCGACCCCATTTAGTTCTCAAAAAGACGCCACAACGTAACGCACATTATAAATAAGTATAGATTTCAGTGTATTTTTAAAATTACTTCTGTCAATTGACACAAAAAAAAATATCCGGTCAATTTCACAACCCAATGAACATGCACAAAAAGTTTTTTCTAATTAAAAATATTCTATTTTTTTTTACAATTATGTCTACTGGAGTCGTTTGTCGCGGATAGCGCTACATCTATAGAGATTGTTATTTCATTTGCAGAACTAGAAATAAATATGAAATCTTCACATTCATTGCACCATTTTGAGAAGCATCAAGTGGCCCTTAAAGGCTGATGGAGTCATCAACACTGGTAATAGATTCAAACCAGGCAAAATAAATGGAGAAAGAGAAAAAATGGCCAAGATCACAAATCCGTATGGCAACCCGGACTTTACATAAAATACCAAAGGCCTATTGAAACCTTTATCAAACACCTTTAAGAGCATGGTGCTATGATCAACTCTGTCAAAGACTTTTGACAATTACGTCCACTAGAGTCGTTTGGCGCAGATTTGGCTGACAAGCTCTACAAATGCCTTAGCAAAACTGGACAATATAGGTATTACTAATATAATAGGTGTACACGAAATTTTTTTTTATGAATCTATGTTTTTTTTATCAACACAAACCCGTGCGAAAAGTTGAGATCCCTTGAAAATGAGCTAAATTAAGCGCAAATTCAAATTTCTGTGAAAAAACTGCACCATCTGGTACCAATTTTAGTTGAGAAATGGGAATTATGAAAATAAATTTTTGACATTTTACCTTAAAAACAGCAGAGAGATGATCGCCCTGTCAAATGTCGAACGCGAATTACGTAACACCGTACATAGTGAAACGAAGTAATTTAATGACTGAATTTTGAAAAATGAAAAATCTCGATGGTCTAAAGCTTTCCTTATGCGCCCCGCCGAATATTAAAAAGAGATAAAGGACGCGAATATTATTACGAGCATTCTGTCATTACGCGTTTTGCCTCATAGCACAATTGCGGTTTGCCACACGTGTTTTCCTCGTCGAAACAACGAAAATTATATTGCGTTATTGCGCAATAAAAGTCGGCGAATGAATAAAATGCAAAGTTATTGGTAGTTATAAACGTTACCCCCTTATAACTTTTTCCTTTTACGTTTCAGAAAAAAAGGTTTAATATCAAAGTTGTAGTATCGTATACATCGAAAGCACGTTGATTTCAAAAATATATAATATGTTATAGTTATTTTTTACATTAAGCCAGTAAAATACAATCGTTACCTAGCTGATGATGTATGTATGTATGTATGCTCGTATAGAATACTATAAAGTATTACCGTCGATGAAATTAAATAATAACAAAAATTATTATAATAAAGTTTAATCACAGCAAAGAAAATTCTTTTTTTTTAACTGTTAAATTATTACAACTAAAGAAAAAGACATATAAGCTTTAACAAAACATTTTGTTGCTAAAGTTAAAAAAAAACGTTGGAGAGAAACAGGAAAGTGGCATGCGAACATATAAAACGACAATACAAAAAAACTATATTTGAACGACAAAAATCCCCAAAAGAAAACGATGTTGACAACTTTGTTTACCACTCTTTCGCAGATTTACGCCTTGCCAAGTTATAGAAGTACGGTGGCGCTTTTAAAGTAGCAAAACAAGCAAATGAACGATTCGAACAAAAAAGAAGATACCAACAAATAAGAACAGGTTCGTGTAGCAATCGACATGATTCGCAATTAGCCAGGTTAATTCTTTAACATACTCGGTTTGCTGTGTGTTTTTACAAAAATATTGATTTCCACTATCCTTTCCAAAGGATATGGTGACACTATATATGCTCCAACAGCTGATTCCATGCTTGCCTATCTTGTGCAATCTTTTCGGCATCATGCCGTTTTATATTTATTAAGGGTTTTGTTTGATCTACCCATCTAGTTGGAGATCTGCCTGTTGCTTTCTGCTATTTTTGCTTTATTTGATGTTGTAATTGCTTTTACAAAAATATTGCTGTGTACTTTATACGACTTTGTCATTACTATGTGCTTTTACAAAAATGTTGCTCTGTGCTATTTGCTATTTCTGAGTACTTTTGATTACATTTTAATTGCTGTGTGCCTTTACAAGAATGTTGTTTTGTTCTATTTGTAATATTTTTCATATTATTACTGTGCGCTTTATATGATTTTGTAATTGCTGCTTGCTTTTACAAAACTTATAACTGTTTGTTATTTGTCAAATTATTGCTGTGTGCTTTGTATAACTTTGTAATTGCTGTGTGCTTTTACAACAATTATAGTTGTGTGCTATTGTTCAAATTTGACTTTGTCAATTCTGCGTGGTAATTGTAAAATTTTTGCTTAGTCTTAGTTTTAGACTTCTGAACTCTCGAAATTAGAATGGCTGAGGGCGTTATGTTTTGAATAGTTGTGTAAATTATTTTTGCAGATTAAAGTGTTCACAGTCAAAGAAAGTTTGGGAAACAAATTTTTCTTATCTGGTTGAAAGCGTTTTTCCTTGCAATTTTTGTTACTTGTGGACGGATATATTATTGTCCGCTAGAGATAATGTGGAAAAAATTTGTTTGTGTTACTCAGAGATTACAGGTCAAGTCAAGCCTTTACTACAATTTAATTAACCAAAATATAACAATTTTGGTACTTTTTGGTACTTTTGTCAATATTCAAGGCCGTTGACCGATTAGGTGACGATTTTTGGCCTTAATGAAAAAGTTACTATATAATATACACCATGCAATTTCCACACATTAAACCTAAAATCAACAGAAGAGATGAAAAAAAGTTAGAGGAAGTTTCACTTACCAACGTATTCTGGTATCCGAGTCCATATTTCTCGTTGTCCTTCGCGCCGACGCTGTCGAATTTATCCATTTTGTCACTCCGGAAGCGCGAACAATTCACATCGAAGATTTCTTAGAGACACACGCGCCCGTACTAAAGCGAGGCTGGGTGGTGCTGTGGCGCGCGAGACCTGCAACGACGCTAGTTAGGCCCTACGAATTGTTAACGTTAACGTTTACCGAACAAATGCAAGAAGAAAAAATACGCGTTGTTATCCGGGGCGGTAAATTTCCACAATTGTCATATCGGAGATTTGAAGGAGGAGTTGACTAGCTGTTATCGCTCTGCGCGTCTGATAACGACCGTGATTTTTTAAGGCGCGTTATCGTGATAAAGATCTGGGACCGCCACTTTGCAAAATAAGAAGTTAACAACGATGGGGCGGGGTTTTAAGAGCCTTCAACTTTGATTTTTAATAAAAAAAGAAAATAGACGGTGGTTTATCGGTAAAGTAAACGAGAGTTGTTTAAAAAGTTGTTTAAAAATCTATGAAACGGTACTCGTTATGTTGAAATAGTACGGGGGTCACTTGAAAAGTTTCCGACCTCACCCTGAAGATGGCGGTACTAGTTACTAAAAGCTAGTGATCGTAGTCATAGTTACTTATCAAAGTTTCAGTCATTTTGGAACAGTGGTTTTTAGTTAAGAGTCGTTTGAGTGAGTCGATGAGCGTGTTTTCGTGTAAAGGGAAAAAATTGAGTATAAAGCTGTTATAAAATATTGTTTTTTGAAAGGCAATACACCTATGCAAATTAAAGTTGAGTTGGACTCTGGGTGTGGGGACTCTGGAACGTCATTTTAAATCAAGACTTAAGCATGGAAAGAGTTGGGTGAACGTTTTCAATGGTCTGTTTGCGCAGTTTAGGCGCAATCAATCCGAGTTTTAGCGCCGATTAATTACTGTAGACGAACCTTGGATGTACTATTATACGCCCGAATAAAAAATATAGACAAAGCAGTGGACTGCGAAAAAAGCAAAAACAGTTTTTTCGGCTGGGAAAGTGATAGCGACTGTTTTTACTGCAGGATATTGTCATTACTTGACAAGCTGGGGACATCCACGAATTACGGTTTGAGCTGCTTGGCCATCCGCCTTATCCACGAGATCTAGCCCCAAGCGACTGCGATCGGAGGACAAAGATTTTTGTCAAATGAGGGGGCAGTCACCTTTGTGAACAATTCTTTTGCAGAGAAAAACGCTCTGTACTATTGGGACGGATAAGAGAAATGCGTGCATCATTGGGAAAAGTCTGCAAATTACAAGAACACTATATAGTAAAACAAAACAAATTTGGACAAAATGTCTTGTGTCATTGTTAGGTCGGAAACTTTTTAAGCGACCCTCGTATATTACGCGACTAGTTTGATAAATGCTTCTATAATCACGACTTTATCTCTACACGAGCGGGGCGAATGACTGAAGAAAATTATCACCGTGTAGCCTCTCGAAAAGAACTCTCTTTCTTTTTTCTTTTTTTCTTTTGTAAAGGCTGTCCTTAAAGCTCTCTCTCTCTCTCATCCCCCTCCTCTCTCTCTCTCATCCAATCCCCTCTCTTTCTTGTCCCCCTCTCCCCACTCTCTCTTGTCCCCCCGCTCTCTCCCCTCCCTTCCTCCCTCCCCCCCTCTCTCTCTCCCTCCCTCTCTCTCTCTCTCTCTCCCTCTCTCTCTCTCTCCCTCTCCCTCTCTCCCTCTCTCTCTCTCCCTCTCTCTCTCTCCCTCTCTCTCTCTCACTCTCTCTCTCTCCCTCTCTCTCTCTCTCTCTCTCTCTCTCTCACTCTCTCTCTCTCTCTCACTCTCTCTCTCCCCCCTCTCTCTCCCTCTCACTCTTCCCCCTCTCTCTCACACTCTCTCTCTCTCACTCTCTCTCTCTCTCTCTCACTCTCCCCCCTCTCTCTCCCTCTCACTCTTCCCCCTCTCTCTCCCTCTCACTCTTCCCCCTCTCTCTCACACTCTCTCTCACTCTCCCCCCTCTCTCTCACACTCTCTCTCCCTCTCACTCTTCCCCCTCTCTCTCACACTCTCTCTCTCTCACTCTCCCCCCTCTCTCACTCACTCTCCCCCCTTTCTCTCACTCTCTCTCTCTCACACTCTTCCCCCTCTCTCTCACACTCTCTCTCTCTCTCTCACTCTCCCCCCTCTCTCTCACACCCCCTCTCTCTCTCACCCCCTCTCTCTCACTCTCTCACACTCTCTCTCTCTCTCTCTCACACTCTCTCTCTCTCTCTCTCACACACTCTCTCTCTCTCTCTCACTCTCTCTCTCTCTATCTCTATTAATTATACTAACTAATTATATTTCTTTTATGGAACAAAAAGTGCAGGGTAATTATTTTGCAATTATGTTCGCCACTATCTTATTTTATTTTGCACAATGGTAAGCTTATTTGTTTTGCTGTGTGATGAATCCATTTCAGTGATGATAGAATTCAATATGAAGAGACATTACTCAACTAAGCATGATATGCTGCTCTCATTGACACGACAAATAAGAAAAGCCAAAATCCAGGAGCTTCCCGCAAATATGGAAAAACTTCAGCAAATGTTTCATAAAAAAAGAGCACGACATGATGATCTTGTGAAAACTAGTTCTATAGTTGGTAAAGATATTAAAACAGTTTTCAAAAGGAGAATTTATCAAGGAGTATGTGTCCTGAAAAGAAAAATGAATTTAGAAAAATTAGTAGGTCGAACTGTTGTCCGACGTATAAAAATGATGGCTAATGATATAAAAACATATGATAAAAATCATTCACCGTCAAGGCAAGAGCACCGATTTGTCAGAAACAGATTAATTAGTCCAGAGGCCACTGTTACTTAGGAATTGCTGGATTTACAGCCGCGAAAAGGAATCACTACTAGACATTTGAAGTTTATAAAGTATTCACAAGTTTTGGCTTGCCATATTCAAAATTAGTTAGAGATCGCACAAACGGCGCACCTTCTTTGGTATTCTTACATAAAGGTTACATCGGAATCTTCAATGGAAAAGGAACTGAATTAAATGTGCAAAAATATGATTTGATAGTCCTTCATCGTATTATTCACAAACAGAACTTGTGTTCTAAATCCATTCGTCTCCAGAGTGTTATCCATGGGGCGCTAAAAACCATCAATTATATTCGATCTCAATCGTCAGTTCAAAGCGTTTTTGGATGAAATATCAGGCGAATATGACGACGTATTATTGTCAAGCCACATGACTGAACAAAGGGAAAATGCTGAAATGGATTTACGAGCTTAGAAATGGCATAACGGATTTTATGCAAATAAAAGATAAACCATTATCTGAATTGAGTGAGGCAGTGAGTGAATCGAGTGATATATGATATAGTATTTTTTTTACCTTAGACCTGAATTATTTAAATTTGAAATTTAAAAAACAAGGACAGTTACTAAATGATTTGTACAGTCATTTGAAAGCGTTTCAGAACAAAATCCATTGGTGGAAGGCAAAACACATCAAAACATCATACAAGGTTGACCGATGATAATTTGGAAAATTCTTTGCGTCTTTGTACCAGTGAAATTTATTTCGATGGATTAGTTTTCCAAATTCAAGCTCGTATTAATTGTAGAGTGGAAGTGAAAGATAAGTGCCATAATTAATGAGAAGGCTGATATGTTTTATCGCAGCTTTCGTATTCTTATGGCATGAAGGTGTGGCAGGTCATGGGGCAACTGAGATTTCTTTCTATTTGTTTCGCTGTTTAAATCATGGATTTATGGTCAAAATAAAAACAAATATGTTTTGTTTCTTCTGATATCCTCGGTAGCTCAAGGTCTTTCCAAATGAATACAGATTAGGTTTTTTATCAGCGGGCATAGAATTATGCTTTGTGACTGGGATTTTGCGTTGATTGAAAAACGCAAAAGAATCCTGAAATTCTTCTACACCCGACGATCTAATCAACGTCATTCAATCAGCAAGGTACAACCCAACATTGGAAGGGGTCAATATATACAAAATTTATTTTTAACATGAAATTTTCGACTACTGTATCATTTATGCTACATTTTGGTTCACAAGAGAGCTTTTAGAAACAGCTTTTTGTTGACACTTGGAATTTGCTAAAGTCGTGTGCGGCTAAAAAGAAATTCGACTCTTACCTGAGCTTTTTCCAAAAAACACAATTAAATAAAACGTACGGATCATTTTGATTACGTCACTAAAGTTGACGTATCTACACAACTACTCTGACTGCTTTGCAGTTTTTACGACCGCAAGATGTTTAGTGTACGAGGTGTGTTCAAAAAGTAAGGCGACTTTTAGGTTCTATCAAAAAGTATTTATTTATTTATCAAAATTAATGTTGTCCCCTTCAAAGTAATACCCCTCAGATATAACACACTTCTGCCAACCTTTTTACCAATCATCAAAGCACTTCTGGTAAGCAATTTCTGGTATAGCGTTGAGTTCTTCCAGTGATTTCTTCTTTATCTACTCAACCGTTCCAAACCTCCTTCCTTTCATGGGTTTCTTGATTTTGGGCACAAGAAAAAATCGCAGGGGGCATTTCCGGTGAATATGGTGGCTGAGACATGTTTTTGGCTAAAAAGTTAAGACACAAGCAACGATGAGTGAGCAGGTACATTATTGTGATACGAAATCCATGAATTGTTTTCCCACAATTCCGGACGACTTCCTCATATTGCTACTCGCAAATGGTGCATAACTTCAAGGTAACACTCTATATTGACCGTACGACCTGGTAGTAGGAACTCTTAGGGTAATATGCTACGATAATCAAAGAAAACAGTAAGCAAAACATTTGATCGAACTTGACGTGCTTTTTCTGTCTTGACGATTCTGGGTTCTTCCATTGGCACGATTGGGCTTTCCCATGATTCGTCACCAGTTATTCTGAGGAATATTAGTATCATCATTGATGTCGTTTAACAACTCGTGAACGATGCTCCTTAAGCAGTTTCGAAATAAATTGTGCTGCTACACGTTTCATACGGAAAACTATGGGAAAAAATGCATGGCGCGTGCCAATAAAGATGCCGACGTCTTCAGCCACTTCTCTAATAGTGATTAGACGATTTTTCAACACCATCTGTTTCACTTCTTCAAAGCTTTCATCAGTTGTTGACGTGCTGGGGTGTCGAGAGTGAGGTTCGTCAACGGCGT